GTTGTCATTATGGCGGCACCGTTACATTTGCTAGCGCCATGCATGCTTTTTAGTGACATGGGATACTATTCTCTTCCCTGTGCACGCAAACAAGATTTGACCACTAAAACCGATCACTCTACATAATTCATGTAATTTTCATTTTTATTGATCAAGACATGTTGACAAGCGCACATTCTTAAACTCTCGTCTTTCTCTTGCTCCTTCTATTGTGCGTGCGTGCGTTGCGTGCGAGCGATGCGTATGCGGGGTTGCGTGTTGGGCGCATGTGTGTGCTCAAACCACACAACGTCACTCATTGGCACATCACTTACATCACGGCATCCGGTGTCGATTTGAGTTTCACTCCGATTGGGGAGGAGATCTCTTTAAAGCGCCGACGAAGCAGTGAGACTGCGCCGAGCAGGGGGGGAGGGGGGGAATACCACCGTTCCCGGAAATGGTAGGGGACTTTTCCCCCCAAAACTGGGCATTTTGAGGCATTTTAAAAATGACTTTCTAGTAATATGAATGTAGTCAAATTCGTACGAAGATAACAAGAACAAAGCAACAATAATTACATGTAACATTATTACACAATTAAGTGTTTGATTATGTATTAATTTTACAGTTAATGGTTGTTATCAACTAAAGTGAGTAAAGAGCAATATCAGCAGCCATCTCTAATGTCATGTTTACTGCTCTGACATGAAACATACGATAATACTGAATAATTTAGAGACGCTGTACAACGAGGGACTACACTTGTAAGTAGTATTTGATGATGCGGATTGTAAATAATGTGATGGATACAAGCTCTGCTAAATTTATTAACTATAATATTAATTATTTCACTCCTATCATCAGAATCAAACAAACAGAATTGTGAAGTGACTCGTGTATGAGTTCAACTGATACACTTGCTCGAAGTTTTGAAGAAAGCTGCTGAGGCACCATTGTTTTTGTTTGTCAATCTCACATAAATAGCTTCCGCATCTAATGTGCTTGTGTGTGACCGAGCACGTCACAGGCCCTTCTAAAAAAATGATTATATTTGACAATATAACAAAATAACAAATTAATTAGCATCAGGAGTTTTGTCATACAGACGATAAACTATATAGATAATTCTAGAATTGAACCAAAAGCGAGTAAACTAACTAAATAAACTAGATACATCTGTACAACTGGTGACATCCAGCGTCTGGCATATGCAATTTCGACGCCGTCTTCGGGTTTTATCGTCATGCCGAGAGATTAATGTACTGTTCGACTCAAGGAGCGCGAGCAGGAACCGCGTGCGTAATCATAACATGCTCGCAACGGGGTTGTTTGAGACTATAGGGTCCGCATAATTTTGTGTTAAGAATGCGGCAAATAATCACACTCACTATAAAGAATCGGCGGTGCATATATATAATGGGTAAGCTGTGCCTAGTTTGAGGTCATAAGTAGCATCGAAAGGACGTACACAGGTGAGCCTGAGACTGTTCGCAAAAAAGCTGTCCAAATCTATAATGCATTAGAGACAATGTGAATGGCGATTATCAAAGATCAAAGGTTGACATAAAAAATCATGGTAGATCGATTTACCATCTGGCACATGGTTACGACTTGTCGAGTATCAAATTTCGCAACCGTTTGGGTAAATCTTGAGGCGTTCGAGGCGGAGTGAGATACACGTACATGGCCTGCATGCGTCTTCGCGACCTGACGTCAAATACTAGATGTGGGGGAGAGGCGGGCTAAGAACGGCTTCGCGGGCCGCCATCCCACCCCCGCGATCGACACCCATTGCATCCACGGCATTTGTTAAGTCGCGTCATTTTCAATGTGTAGGGTGAGGCCACCGGGCTCGGGGACTGAGCGGCGACAGCAAAACTTTGCTTGGAATTGTGAACACAAGCTGGCACAAAGGTTGTACCCTCGCTTTATGCGCAGTCAATTATATAATTTAACGCTATATGCATCAGGGTGACGTTTTGTAGCAGCCCCCGCGCGATCTAGTAGAAAATATGTGTTAGTCCAACAGAGGGGGTATCTCAAGCGCAGACAGCAGTCAACGCATTTGTATTGGATGACTGTATATATTACACTTCAGGCAAACTGTCAGACACACATACATTCCGAAGCCTCTGTTTGCTCTCAGAGAATGTGTCAAGATCTTGTTGACAGCTTGATTGACGTCGTGTAGATCTTATATGCATGCATCACCGCCAGGGCAGCTGGACACGCGCGGGGAATCTGCGACGTGACGCACATTGATGACACGCGCGGCCGTCTGAGCAACGCCTGCAAAACAACGGTGCGAGCGGTCGGTTAATGACCGGTCGGTCTGGTGACCTGTCAATTATAGGAACAGGCTGGTTATGAGTGACTGGTCGGGTTATAGTAACCGGTGGGTTATAGTGACTGGTAGGTTACGGTGGCAGTGGCTGATCGATCGTCAATTTTGGAGCAAATCGCCCAACACCTAGTGACAAGTTTGCAGGTAACGGTTGGGTATAGTGAGCGGTCTGTTAGCTACACCACGATTTTAGGCTGTCTACATTAGCCTGCCTGAGCCACACAGCACCTTAGAGAACCAAATCAGATCTTGTGGCTACATTTCGCAACATAAGAATAAATCAACAAACTACACAAAGTTCGCTGAATACTGAAAAGTAATAAATATATGCTATAGATCTAGATAAGCTAAGATATAAGTAATAAATATCTAAGCTATAGATAGGTAAAGTTTATCTAAGCTATAGATAGCTAAGATAAAGTCTATAGCGAGTGCTTTGTCAGGCTCTGATATGTACCTCCGCTAGCACTGGCCGTCGTATAACTGGTCGGCTTGGGCAGAATCCTACTCTGACCAGTGGCGATATTTGATGTGGGAATTGTCTGTGTGATGATCTTCACACCTGTAAGAAAGAAACGTGTAAGCAAAATAATATGCTAATATATATATGCAGTGGCTACGCGTCCGGTCATCCATTTCAAAGCTCAGCACAGATTCCCAAATCCACGTCACGATTAGGCCACGTTCTCTTTCAAATCGTTGATTTTACTGGATTTACTATGGCTTTGAAAGTTACAAAAATACATTTTTTGGATAAAATACCTAAAGGTAAGTAATATTTAATTATGGTAAAAACTTATTGTATATTGTTTTTTACTAAAAAAAATATAGTTGGGTTCACATAAGAAATATATGACTAGACGCGTAGCCTGGGAGCTGGGCCTCCGGTAACCGGACGCGTAGCCACGGCCATATATATAATAAGTACTAATACCAAACAACTAACGTGATTAAATCTACTATTGCTTTCAAACAGTCCCTCTCTTTCCACCTTCATCATCTTATACTCAGGTACTAATGTATCATTACCGATTCTAACAGGAAATCAAGGCCATCCCCTTTTTACTCACGCATACACATGCACAAATTCAAACACCCCACCCACGCCCCTTCCTAGTTGTCTACTATACATTAAATCGATTACCTCCCAAACCATTTGGAAGTTCAGGTAAAGACACGTAACTTTACAAACCCATTGGATTTTGGCACGCATAACAAACCTTCACACCAGTGGTGTGAAAGTCTCATAATCTGAGGAGACAATTGGACCTAACTAGACATGCATTTCCGCTCCAGCATAATTAGGGCACCACAATTGGGCACCACAATTGCTTCATGCACATGCCATCGCTCATCCGCTCGCCCACGCAGCCTCCGTACCCGCATCATTCTTCATCTGCATCGCTCCCGGCTTGCCGACGGTTCGCATCTGCACCGTCCTCGTCACCGGCTGTGCCACAGTGGGGGCGCCACCACTCACAGACACGACGCCCGCCGGTCGACCGAGTCCGAGCTTGTGCGCGCTGCTAGGGGGCGTTGCCGGCCGTAGCGGCATTGTTTTCGGCCACGGCCGCGAGACGCTGATGGCGTTGGTAACGTAGGCTGTCGTTGAACTCGTGCCTGTGTGTTGTTTGGAACGTAGATTGATGAGTATTAATGTATCTCAGTATATGATAGACATGCAATATATATATAATACACAAACACATCATACATATATATTATATATAATACATAAATACATCATATATATATATGTATGTATGCATGTATGTATACAGCACATATATTATATCAAATATGAATACATCATGTATATTCATGCACGACGTGTATATGCAAAATACGTTTAATACATGATGCATTACACGACAGAAGAATGAGCGCAGCCAGCATATCCAACGTTGCTACCGACGACAGCATCGCGGAAAAAAACAAGAAAAAAATCATAATAAAAATAAATAAATAAAAAAGATAACAAAAACATAATAAAGTTAAGTTAATAAATAATAAAACAAAAACTAATAAAACCCCTCCCGAAACGAGACACGCGTCGAACGCGCGTGTTGGACAGCTCACCGGTCACGGACATCGTGACGACGCTGCCCGGTATCGTGGGAAGACTGGCCGCCGTGAGCGCTGACACGGGTCGCACGTGACCGGCCGCAGCCGCCGGCGACGGCGTCGTCTTGACTACGGTCGACGACGGAACGCTGAACGATCGGTGGATGACGCTGTTCGGCGTGTTCGAATTCGACACGAGTATCACCTGCGGAAGCAAGAGAAACCGCAAGAGATCAAAAATCGCAAGAAATCAGAGAAATCGCAAGAAACCGCTGGGAAAACAAGGCAGGTTTATCGCGGTTACCGTGGTTACGGTCGCATTGATGTATATATTGTTATACTCCGAGTGCTCGGTGAGTGTGTACTTTGTAAGTTCCTACTCGCTAAGTGCATACTTGGCGAGTGTGTAGGGGGGGCATCAGTATTAGTACACTTCTAGCGACTGATTGCACTGCTGTAATCTCGTTAGTATTAAGGGATACCTAGTTACGATATATACACAGCACCTAATACTGATTATCAGGTGAATGCTATATTAGACTTAGACATGTAATTCCGTCTGCAGTCGAGAATCGAATCAAAGACCTTCGAATTTTAGCATCGGATTATATCCTAAATTGTAAGATCATTCAATAATGAGATAAATCTCAAATACATCGGATGCACTGCACAACTCTGGATTCCCCGTCGATGACATCGCATACCTTCTGCGTCTGCCCGCTGGTTGTCGTGACGATCGTTGGCTTCGTGGGGCTCTTGGTGAGCGTGATCTTCATCGGAGTGAGGCTGGGCATGGACGCCGATGATGACAGCACGCTGGTGTTAGCTGCTGCCGAGCGCATGAGAGCAGTCGATGCCGGAACCTGACTGCTCATCGGCTGTGAAAGAGAAATGCGTGAGCAAATAATATATGCTAATATATATATAATATATATAAATATATATAAATATTAATAATGATATATATATAATATATAATATATACTCATATATATATATAATATATAAATATATATAGTCCGACCTCCTTTATCCGGCCATCCGTTATATCTGGAAATCTCT